TAGCAACAGAAATTTATAGTAACAAGGATCTTTTCATTCATAAACAGGTTCGGGGTTTTTGTATATTATTTGAATTGTTCGCGACGATGGATTTCTCGCCAATTAAATCATTAACCTTTGTATTTGTTTTTTGTATGAATAATTCATGAATATATATATATATATATATATATATATATATATATATATATATATATATAAAATCAAGGAAAGCTGTAAAGCCACTAAGACACAGATGGTTATTGGTTTGTGAAAAAAGAATTAGTAAACGGAAACATTATTGAGGAGCGAGAACAATATAAAAGTGATACTAAAGACACCAGATAACCATTGACATTGCGTTTAATTTTTTGAATATCAAAATTGGCCGGAAAGCATGGATCCGGAAGAATGTTCCACAGGCCAGAAGTGCGCGAAAGGAAACTGTTACCATAGAAGTTACAGTTATATCTAGCCAATTCTATTGCAAATTGATGGCAAATTGTTACCAATCTGGTAGTGCGCTTAAATTAATAAAGTCTATGTACCATAACGGAGAGCTAATCCGAACAATTACCATAAAAATATTTATAGAAAAGACACAAGGAAATAACCTTACGGCGGTAGAAAAGTGACTGAAGCCGAGCCGCCAGATCAGGACCAATAATATTGCTGATTCTTCTTTGGATTTTATCAAGGAGCTCAAGGTAAATAGCAGAGGAACTGGATCACGAGTAGCAGCAATAGTCTAAGCATGGACAAATGGTAGAATTATAAAAATCTAAGATAAATATCTGGAGAATCAACCTTCCAAACAGCAGCAATATATTCCATATAGTCTCTTCACTTCATGTCAGCTGTGAAGGAGCAACGAGTCACTCTTCTGGAGGCTAGCATCAGCCATGTTCATGGAAAGCAGAAATGGTTGTCTCAGATGATTAATAGACAGCAGTTTCGTTTTTATGACGTTAAAAATTAACAAGCCATCCTTTGCCTCAGTTAACAACCGACTGTAGGTCCTTTTAGAGATCAATCGCGAATTTGAACTTATCAAACTGATCAGACCTATCAAGAGAGAAGTAAATGGTTGTGCCATCAGCAAGTTGTGAGCTGATGCAATAGAAATGTTGTTAATGAAATTCAAGAACATAGTAGGACCAAGGATAGAACCCTCAGGACACCTGCATTAGTACAAAAGGATCTAGAAGACTGGCCGTTCAAGACAACCTTCATTTCATGAGTTGATAAAAAAAGAATGAATTAGTTATATATCAATTTAACAGCTATTTTTAGTGGGCACCAGTATTTCAATAGACTCTCTCAGTGGACAGTGTTTTATTTTAGTCTACTTCTTTTATGTCCCGTGTCCCTTCAGGACGTAGGCGATCATGGCTCTCCACTTCCTCCTCTCCCTTGTAATTCCCAATAAGTTTTGTCTTTTTGTTAATTCTCCCAGACCATATTCTGTCATCCACTTGCTTATACCCGCAAAGTACGCCACACGTTGCTTTCCCTTGTCCCTCATTTCCTCTATCCGTCCTGTGAGTATCAGATTTTCCAAGCCTTCCTCTCTGATTACATGTCCCAGATATTTCATCTGCCTCTTCCTAATGTTAATTATAACTTTCCGCTTTGTTTGCATTCTCTCCAAAACCTCATCGTTGCTCACATGTTCGGTTCAGGGTATCCTTAGCATCCTTCTGTAGAACTATGCCTCGAGCCTCTTCTTCATCTTTGAGGAGACCGTCCCGTCGCCGTAAAGGAGGACAGAAATCACGTAGAGGTTAAGTACTATATTCCTTGTTACCAACAATTTTCGTCTACTGGCCTGAATATTCGAGAAAGCTTTGCAACAGAAACTATCGTTTGATCCAACTTGGAAGAGCATCGTCCATTCTTCTTTAATAAGATTTCTGGAATAATCACCTTTTTTTTTTTTCATTTCTCAGGGTCGGGAAAACTTCTTAGCCCGATAAAATATCACTCCTATCCCCAAATCAGATGATCTTTTTTTTTTATTTGGTCAGATTTTACGAAGTGAGTCGTATTGAGAAGTTACATATCACTTTAAACGCTATTTTTAGTGAATACACATATTTAAGTAAAGACACTTTATTTTTTAAAACATTATTTTGTTTTCGTCTACCGGCCTTAATGTTCGAGAAATCTTAATAAAGAGATAATCACTCTCCAAAATTATTCGTACGTGCGTCTACATTTAATCGACGAATCACTTCCTGGCTAAGCACATCGGATGTAACGATGGCCTCTGCTGCAGATTTCACGAAAATTCCGGCTAGTGGGACGAAAACAAAGCATTGTGTAAAATAAAGAACGTCTACTCAAATATGAGTATCCACTAAAAACAACATTTAAATTGATATATATATATATATATATATATATATATATATATGTATATATATATATGTGAGTGTGTGTGTGTGTGTGTGTCTGTGTGGGTGTGTGAAGAAGTAGATAGGTTCGCCTGTCGTCCACTTCAAACATCTCCCCGTGTTTTTTTTTTAAATAGTAGAGGTTTATTCAGTGTATACCTGTTTAAGATCGGATTACCACTACTCTATACTTCTGACGTATCTGCCAAAACTCTGAACAGGAGTAGAGGTTTATCCGTTGTATCACTGTTTAAGATTGAGTTTCAGTTCCTTCTGAAATCTTCTCATTCTCTTTCACTCCGAATAGCCTCTTGCGTCTTAGTGGCACAATCGCCATTTTAGGGGTGAATTCATTAATATATATATATATATATATATATATATATATATATATATATATATATATATATATATATATATTTTAATAATATTTTGCTTATATATATATATATATATATATATATATATATATATATATATATATATTAGTAAATATACATATACGTTTGTAGCGCAACTTAAAGTTTCATAGTTTTCTCAACTCGTCAGGCACGAACTAGTGAATGGAACACTTATTACAATTGTTTTCAAAAAATACTTGATCTCAAGTTTATATATATATATATATATATATATATATATATATATATATATATATATATATATATAGAGAGAGAGAGTGGGGAAGATACTTGAGCTGTTATTTATACATATACATGTTTTTATATATGAATGCAAGTAAAATTTTATATATATGTATATAGATAAAATATATATTAATTATATATATCTATATATATATATATATGTGTGTGTGTGTGTGTTCGAACATAAATGTCTACCTGCCGATAAGTATGCATATAAATATTGCTCACCTTGTCATCATCGTAACCGGCCCTGTTTTAGAAACGAAATTAAATAATATTTCACATGTTCGGTGGAAATTAAAGTGGAAATATGACACAAAAAGGGGAAATAAGGTTGGAATCTGTTGGGAAAAAGTGTACGAGAAAAAAAATGAAAGAATCAAAACTTAATTAGAAAAATAGGGGAACCTGCATTCCTGGAAACGCGAGATACTTTTCCATCAATGCAAACATATATATCTTTACATATATATATATATAAGGATTACGCTTACATATGTGCTCTATGTATATATATACCTGTGAATACGTTTATATACATAAACTCTTCTATTTAGAAATATATTCACATGTGAAAATTTACAGATAGACGCAAGTGCATTTCTATGTCTATTTTACATTTTATATATATATATATATATATATATATATATATGGATTAATATGTGAATAACAATATGAGTATCTGTGTATGATTGAGTATGTAGATATTTGTAAAACAATTACCGCTCCATCTATATATGCTCTGATATCTAATGCTCACTGTTTGGGATTATATGTGACCATATATATATATATATATATATATATATATATATGCATGTTTCATTAAAAACGACAGGCGTGGTACTACGGTTAAGCTTTTATTTAATTTTTCTTGTGTTCGAACAAGAGCTTTCTTTTCTGGACAAAGGGTGTGTAAGAACTGTCCAAATGTTTTATATTTCCGAACGCTTTCGGCTATACATTTAGCCATTATCAAGGATGATTCGATTTTTCTGCTTAATTGAGTGTGTGCGTTCTGTGTATGTGTGTGGTAGGGATATTTTTAATTTCCGAACACGGTTCGCACTTTGTGGCTTTGTTCGTAGTTAATATTGTTAAGAGTTGGCTTTTTCTTTTTTATTATTAATGCTTCCATTATTTTTAGTCGTTTTTTGCAGGTGGATGCAGTTGTGTTTTCTACTAGTATGTTTCTAATGGAGTCTGGTAAATTTGTGTGTGCGTGTTTAAATGGGTTCTAATGGAGCTGTGATCAGATAGGTGTAACGTAAGACGTCTGGATAAAACCTGTGGTTGTGTAACTGATGTAATTATTTATGAGTCCGGTTTGATCAGGAACACAGTTCCTTAAGGGGCATTTGAACTCATGGATTATGTTCGTTCTTTGTGATTTTGACTTAACCGGTGCGTTTTTATTTTTGAGGACAAGGTTAGCTGTCTTACATTTTTTATAATAGATAGTTAATTTAATTTTTTTTATTCGAGTCAGTTGGGGTAGTATATTTCTTTATAATATGTCTTAGAGAAGATTCGTCTTGTTTGTAATTAATATGCATTTGGTTTTTGTAATAAATGTGTATGTAATTTTTGGCTGTGTGTTCACTATCGTTATTACTTGCTTTAGGGAGAAATAGTCTAATTTGGTGGTCTATAAGGTGGTTAGGGAAGCCGTTGTTAATTAGTGTTTGTTTAACATTTTTAAGTTCTTTGAGGAAGAGTAGTCGAGAGGATGAATTCAGGTTCATCCTTTACAAGGCCTAGTGGCCACTCGAGGTTACATTGGGAGGCAATTTGTGCATATAAAATTGGAAGACACATACAAATATAAATCTGCTAGCTGTTTCATTCACCATCCCGACTCCAGAGTTTCGTAGAAAATCATTCCGTTTTCTCCTCAGGTGATATCAGCATTTAACAGTTTTTCTATTATTGATGTACTTTTCATTGGTGCAAGATTCATATTTCCCTCACATAGTGTGTGTATTTATGTATGCGCACACGTGTGCCCGCCTGTTTCTATCTATCTATCTATCTATCTATCTATCTATCTATCTATCTATCTATCGCGGTCTGTTCGTATCTATCTTTGTGTTACGGTTTCTGAGAGAGAAAATTTATGATCCGAGCGGATAAAGCCACCATTCGCAATCCCTCGGTCGCAATATCTTATGACTTCGTTGTAACACTATCATTACTGGCTTCGGTATAGAGTCGTCGACTCACATTCGCTCACAAAATTCGGTTCAATCCTTAGTATAGTTTACACACATTACTCAGCTGTTCTCCACAGGCCGATATTATGAAGAAGTCATCTCCTTGGCAAAGCTAACTCAGTGAGATTCGAACCCAGCTCTTATGGTCAGAAGGCTAAAATCTCATATATACATGTGTTTGTGTATCCGTGCGTATATAAAAATTGCCAAAATTATGATATTTATTCAGAATTTTAAAAAGTCTCAATATTTACAAACAGAAATTAAATTGGAGTTTAAATATATTTATAAATTAAAAAAAAAATAAACAAATAGTTTACTAAATCTGCTTACTTGGTTTCGCAATATATTGTTGGTTAGTAGCAATACTTTTATGAAGGAAAAATTAACAGCTATTCATTGTTGAGGAAAAATTATTACCAGCAATGAAATTTTTGAAGGAAAGTTATTACCAGCAGTACGTTTTTGAAGAAAGCGTTATTACCAGAAATATAATTTTGAAGGGAAAATTTTTATCGGAGATCATAATATAATTCCTCCTTCAATTTTGAAGAAAAAATCGTATTATCACCAATAGAGTTTTTTAAAGGAATATTACCAGCAATATGTTTTTGAAAAAACGTTACCAGCAATACATTTTTGGAAAAATATTTCCAACAATACATTTTTGGAAAAATATTACTTGTAATTGTTTTTAAAAGGAAGGATATTGCTAGCAATAGTTTTTTGAAGAAAAATATTACCAGCAATAAAGATTTTGTCGGCATAAACTAACCAATTGAGGTTGATATGCCGTAAATCTCAATCAAACCAATCATCCATATATTTATACGTTTACTGATGGACATACATAAGACTTAATTCTGGGGCCTGACAAGTTGCTGTCAGCTGAAAATTTTTTTCTTGTAAATGATTATTTGCAACTAAATTAAAATTTTCTTTTAACTGTAAAGGTGATTATATTAAAAACTTTTTTTTCGTTATTAAATAGTGGACCCATTGATAACCCAAGCAGAAACAGTCTATGAATTTCTTCGATAAATGTACAAAGAAAGATCATCTTAGTTTCTTTACCGCCTAATTTTTTGCAACAATTCTATCGGCAGTGAATTAATTTAAAAAATAATTTTCTATCCAATTACTCCATTATCTTTTGTCACCAATTCTTTGATCAATGTAAATATCACCTATTTTGCAAATTAGTTTTCAATACGATTTTTCTCTCTATAACATTTGAATTTTACCGTTTTCATATATAATATACCCCTTTTATCCCGTTGTTGTTGTTGCTGTTATTATTATTATTATTATTATTATTATTATTATTATTATTAATTTGAAATGAGTGTTAGCGAGTTTTTCTTTCTTAATATTCAAAAGGATTTCCACATACGCCCTTCTTCTATTCTTCTTCTCAATTAATCAAGTTCGTTATTTATCGATGTTATTTATAGAATTTGCATGTTCACCTGATGTTGGTTTCTTTAAACGACATTTTGTTTGGCTCTCGTTCTCTCTCCCCTCCTCCTTCCCTACACCTGCGTCTGAGGCGAGAGGAACAAAATGTCTTCACAAATCTCCAGCATCTTCTTATTCACATCTTCAATTCTTTCTTAAGACGAGGTTTCTTTTAGGCTTTCTTTGCCAGATAGCAATTTTAAGTACTTAATTACCAAATCCCCGCCAGGTTCTATAAGTAAAAAAGGTACTCTATGTGAGTCATCTATGTGCATTTTAGGACGTTTCGTTTAGATGAAAAGGGTTTTGAGTATATGTGCAGTTCCGCACAAAGTAATCTTTTGTAGCTCCAAGATGCTGATGCGTTGAGGAATTTTACTAACATGATTTATTTGGACTGTTGGCCTCGTCTTTATTGCCATATTCACGAAGTTTCGACAGTTGTATGCTGCGACCTTCTGCTCACAATAACTGACACTGATACATCTGGAAGAGTCATGGCATGTGCAACTAGAACAATTTACCCCTGTGGATGAAATAAAAGGTGCAGTTCGACATTTCAATCACCTGAAGAAGCCCGGAGCATGCAACGGCCGAAAGGTCATGAATATGGCACCAAAGATGAGGACAACAGATCGAACAATGTAAATTGTGTAAATATGCAAATGTGCAATACCTCATCTCAGAAATATAGACAGATGATTTTCTGTATCCTTCTTTAGCTTAACCCTGTTAAAACAAGGATAATTGTGTTTTTTAAGGTTCCACATTTTTGTTATATGGATTTACATGTTCCTTTTTTGAAATTATTTATGACTATTTGCATCAATTTTCCTGACTGTGAGGATTCGGAAATTCCACAGTATAGTCGTTCCATTACAATTTGTGACATCATTCGGGTGGTCTTTGTACCATATATCCGGTATTCAATACCATTGTTCGGACAGACATGCCAATGAATATACAGTCCTAGACGTCATATGTAATAGTGTATTCTTTCTCTGCAAGGACTATACATTAGTTGGAAATCATTGGTTATGTGTTGCCATTATAAGGCATTCCATCCCCCCTTAAAACCACTGCTTCTAAACCATTCTTCTTCTTATTATTATTATTATTATTATTATTGAGGGAGTTTATTCTCTATGTAAGCGGTGTTATTACTTACTAATCTTAGCAGAGTTTAGTCAGAAGGCCACAAATTTTGAGTACCCAATGAGGATCGAAGTCATTTCTCATTAGTAATGAGCACTTGAATAGCTGTTTAAACTGATACGATTTGATGACACTCCTGATCAGGGCCCCTGCAAGGTTCTTACCCCCAAGACCAGCATCACCAATCGAATCTATGATATAGAGGCCCCCTCGCAATTTTCATAGAGTAGTATTCATATAAAAAATTATAACCTAATTATGTACAATGAATGCAATATACGTGAACACTTCAACTAGAAAAGTTGAAAATAAATACAATGTAGCTGAATACAAATAAGAGACATGTCATAATAGATCATTCCATCTTAAATAAAGCAACATTTTTAGCATGAACTTGAGACTGTTCTTGTTAAAAAGTTGAATAATTTTAACCCATTCAACATTATGGATAAAAAATAGTGAATTTTCTATCGTGTCTTTTCGATATTAGCATGAGCGAAACAAATTCAAAGATTTTGACAAAGAAATGACCACAGAAAGACGTCAAAATCTGCGAAAACTTTTCGTCCTTTAATAATAGTCAGTTGGGCTTAGTTTAATTTGTAATGTATATAAATGTAGGTAAAAAAAATCTTCATAAGATATCGAGGGACAGCAAGTACTGCCCGCGACCCCAATCAAGCTTGCACCTTCCCAGTCAGATTGTTCGGTGATAGAACGCATGACATATTTTATTCTGCAAGTTAATGTTATAACAATAAAATAGGTATTAACTCCCAGATATTGGTTAAATATTCAGTAAATACTTACAGTAAATTTAGCAATAAACAATGTCAATTTCCGCTTGTAATATCTACCTTTTATTAAAAAATACTTGTATGGAAGATTTTAGGTTTTAATGTGAAAACCAAGTGTGACATATTTTTTAATCATTTCACCTTAAACAAATTACCTACTTCTATTTTTGACTAGTTTATATTTTATGTTTTGTATGGATTTTTCTCGTAAATTTCACATAGTTTTATATTTACGTAACGGCCGTCAAATTAAAAAGCAACAAAATTGGTGAAGAGAATTGTAAATTAAAAATACGTTAAAATTAACATATTTAATATTACGAGGTGATATCAAAAAATAAGTTGTCTACGAAATAACGATCGGAACAGACAATGCAAGTTATAACGATTTTTTTAAATCAATTCACCTCAAACAAGGCGATAATGCCACTAAGACACAAGAGGGCTACTAGTAGTGGAAGAAAATGTAAAGACATTAGAAGAAATCAGAAACCCAACCCTAAAGAGGATAAACCTCTACTCCTGTTAAATAGACGGGGGGAGAAGTATGAACCGGGCGATAGGGGAACATATCTACTCATATTTGTTATTATTAGATAAAAAGAAGTGTCGGTTAAAAATAGGATTGATTAGTAGTATTCGATATACCTGAATAAATTCTTATTTTATTACTTTACATCTTTATATGAGCTCCTTGTCATTCTAATATCTTCATCGATCTTTCATCAATTAATTTTGTTAAAGATCTGATGCTGGTCTAAGTGGATTCCAAAATACATTAAGATATTTTGATAATTTGATTTTATATTTACAAATATATTGAATCGATAACTTTTAACTATTCCTACTGTATGCAAGAGTTACTCCGTAAGTAATACCTCTGACATTAATATGTTGGCCTAAGATGTCAGGGGCAGATGTTGGCGATATAACACTAGACAGTAAACGCATCCGTCAATTAAATTTTTACATATGCTCAGTGGTTTAAAATGAAAGTATGATCGAAGTTGATTTAAGTCATTTAAGTCCACCATGTTGAATAAAATTACACACATTGACATTAAGTAATACAGATAATCAAACAGTGGATGTGAGCACAGAATTCTGTCGTTCTACAACTGTTCTGTGTGTGAAAATATGGCCGGCGTCTGCTGCTTCAAATTTGGGCGAGAACAGCATGCAGCTTTTTATTCATTGCTGACAAAAGTGTAAAGACTACTACGTGAAAATAAAATTGCACTATAAATCGTATCCTCCTTGTATATAATGTCACTATCGCAGAAATAAATAAGTATACACACACACGCGCAGACATACACACACACACACATATATATATATATATATATATATATATATATATATATATATATATGTATATGTATGTATATATATAAGTAAAAAAGAAAGAACAGTAAGATATATAATACGGTGTTCTTATAGATATTTTTATTTTTACAAAATAGGGCTCAATGTAAATTTACAGAGCATTAATATTATATATTAATTGATTTAAAAATTTTTTTTCGCTACACAGTTCTAACCATGTTTCAAAAATGGAAGCTGAAAGCTCTGATTTTAATTTTGTAATTAAATTAAAGGCATTAGTTCCATTTCATCCTCAAGCGAATTTTGGTGTAACTTTTAAATTTCTAAAATTTTTGTACTCCCTTTGTCGCACCAAACGGAAGAAGGTAAGAAAATATGAAAATTAATGTATCTTATTCATTTCTGTGATAGTGATATTGCGTTGTATCGTAACGTTCCGGGTTCAATTCTGGGTAGTGGATGCACACTGCTGATGAATCCCCTAAATAGGACGAAACGGCCGCCCAATGTTTTTCTGAATTCCTTTGAGGTTTCTAGGTGTAAACATGATTAATTATTATGAAAAATTATTCAAATCCCCAAGATTACTATTCCGATATTGAGGGATCTCGTCATTTTTCGACCTATGAGACTCTTCAGTAGCTCAGTACTTAGAACCGAACAGCCAAACTATCCGTTGTACATATTTCATTATAGTGGTGAAGACCTTTGCAGAACCAACCACATTAGAGCCAAATACAGAGAACTGGTGTACAGTGTGACATGTTCGCCAGTGTAATTATCCATCAATGTGATTAATTGACAAGGTAAGATGTTATATAAAAGCCGATGTATATATGCATGGATAGATAGGGGCTACTTTGCATTTTGTAATATTCATCGCATTTTGAAAATTTACGAATATACAGGGTGTTTCAAAAAATTTTATATCATTTCGCAATCTAATAACTTTGTTAGATCTCCTTGAAATAACTTCAAATTTTAATAGCATCTTTATGTTTAATGTTTGTTTTATGTTTTTATGTCTTTATGTTTTTGTGTTTTTCTTATTTGTATTTTTATGTTCTTTAATCTTTTTTCTTTACAGGTATAAAAATGCCGTGTCTCAGGCGGTGCGCATATTGAACATTTGCGAAATCGTTCACATAATCCACAAGCTTTTGAATTTCTCATTCAGATTTGGAAGAATAAATCTTATGATCTTCAACATTAATACTTTTTAATTTCATTTGCCTTAATCATGTACTTTCTGTGATATTTACATCTCAAATGATATCAAATTTTTTGAAACACCCTGTATATTCATTCCTTTATTCATGCAAATAGATACTACATACATACACACACACACACACACAAACACACAGACACACACATACACATTCATACACACAGACACACACAAACACAGACACACACAAACACAGACACACACACACACACATATTTATATATATATATATATATATATATATATATGAATAAATATGACAATAGGAAAACTGAAAATAACATCAGTATTTGTCACGTATGGGGAATATTGTCATTTTATCTGTGTTGATGTATTCAACCATTTTCTTTTGATTTTATGAATCTATTGTGTACATTTGTTTGTGAGAGCAGTAATTTTGTCAAGAAAGGTGAAATGGGGAAAAAACCTGGGCGTAGATTAATATTTGGGTAATTTTCTATGGCGGCACTCTCTAGAATTTTCCTTCTGAGTGACGTTATTTTCAGTTAACACATGTACCAATCAAGTTCCTTTTTTGAGAGACCAAATTTTAATACACTAACCTCAGTTCCTCTATCTCAGTATCTCATCTTCTATTTAAATATGTTAAAAAAGTAAAAGGAGTGATAAAATTATCTTTAGTAACGCTAAACTCGTCGCGTAA